CCATCCATCCACCCATCCATCCACCCATCCACCCATCTACCCATCCATCCACCCATCCATCCATCCATCCATCCACCCATCCATCCATCCACCCATCCATCCACCCATCCATCCATTCATTCATCCATCCACCCATCCATCCACCCATCCATCCACCCATCTATCCATCCACCCATCCGTCCACCCATCCATCCATCTACCCATCTACCCATCCATTCATCCATCCACCCATCCACCCATCCACCCATCCACCCATCCACCCACCCATCCATCCACCCATCCATTTACCCACCCATTTAACATCATCCATCCATCCATCCATCCATCCACCAATCCACCCATCCATTCATCCATCCATTTACCCACCCATTTAGCACCCATCCATCCATCTCCACACATCCACGCATCTGCACACATCCATTCATCCATCTCTACCCAAGCATTTATCCACCCACCCCATGCTTCCACCGTCCATCCATCCAACAAATATTTAACAAATATGAATTGTGTGCCAGGAGCCATTACAGATTCTTGGGATTCAGACACAATCCCCTGCCCTGGTAGAGCTTGTGTACTGGGAGAGTGGGGTCAAGAGCAAGCCCATAAATAAGTAAAATATGTAATCAGTTGGAAGGTGATAAGTGAGTGGGCGACGGGAAAGCAGGGGAAGAGAGAACTGGGGGGCTGTAGAGATTTCACATTTGAATAGGGTGAGCAGGAAGAAGGCTTTACTGATAGGGTGGCATGAGCAGGGACTTCTAGAAGGTAAGGGGGGGGTCACCCCTGTGTATATTTGGATGATGTATTTTCTGGGGTAGAAGTAAGAGCAGGTGCCATGGTCCTGAGGCAGGAGGGAGCCTGCCTAGTGTGGTGAGGGGCAGGCGGAGAATGCAGAGGCTGCTCTGACGGATTCCTCGTCTCTTTCCAGGTCGGCTGGTTCCCTTCCAACTATGTAGAGGAAGATTACTCTGAATACTGCTGAGCCCGGTGCACTGGCAGAGAGAGGGGGACACTCCAGGCTCTGAGCCCAGGATGAGCCCGAAGCAGGACCACGGGCTGTGACAGGTCCCAGTGGGCGGAGAGTCTAGATGGACTGTCCAGGGCCAGCATCCAGTTGGCAGGACTCCCGGGATGGTGCCCTGCTATGGTTAATTTATAACTCGCCGACTGCCTCTTGGGTCCCCCCTAAAAGGCGGGGCTCGAGGCAACTGCTTTTAATAAAATGATAAATGCAGAACTGGTGTGTGCCGCGGGGCTGGACGGGGAGATGGGAGGGAGCGCGTGCCCCAGTCCGCCTCCACCCTCCCTCTCAACAGACTTGAAGGGGGAGACGGTTCCTGTTACCTGGAGTCGGGATCACAGGATGTACCATTCACGCGCTTTTTCTACACAAGGACTTAACGACTGTGTTCTCCCTCCTCCACCTTCTAACTTTGCTGAGCAGGAGGAATGTCCGTTCTCCGTCAGATCATGTTTACATTCCCAGGGTTTGGCCCTGGGATGCTGGGGACACTGCTGGCTTTCTTCTGTCCCCTGTCACCTGCCGGACATCTTCCAGACCTCTCTCGGCCCACGCAAGACACCTGGTCGTTTTCCTTTCACGTGGGGTTGGGACGGTGGTACAGCCTGGTTTTCCTGGGGGCCGGGACCCTGGTGCAGTTGTGAATCACGATGCTTTTACTTTTCCTGGTTTGGATGATAGTTCCATGGTTACTGCCTTAGGGTGCCCCCTTCCAGAGGCAGACCCCAAGATAAGGATTTGAGGGCACACAGTTTTATCTGGCAGACGATCCCAGGAAGGAGCTGGGAAGGAGTAAAGAATAAAGATGGGAAAGGGACGGAACCAAGATAGGGCACATCCCCGGGCCACTGGACCTGTTCCTGATGGGAGATGGGGTTGGAGTTTAAGAGTGAGGAAGCTGAGGTACTGATCCACCCACTCCATCCACATGGCTTCAGGCTGCTCTGGTGGCCAGAGAATTCCAGGAGCTCTGGAAAACATCAGTCTCTAGGGATACGGGAGGTTTTGGTGGGTGGTGGGTTGTTGCAATGAAGAGATCTGCTGCACTCCAGTTAGGACCCGGGCTCTGCCTGCGCACCCCCTGCTTCCATTCAGTGCAACGTGGGGGAGAACTTGGTGGAACTTGCTGCACCCGGACTCCGGGAGGCATAAGGAATCCTGTTTTCTTATATTGCCTTGAAGCTCTCTGGGTTGTGGGTGGGCTAGTAAGGTGTAGGGATCCATCTCCAGACCACCCGAGTATGACTCTATTCTCTCCCTTTCAACCGTCCTCCTCCACATTGAATAGGCCTGTTTACTTTTGTTGCAAAAATGTGAACTGATGGATGTTCTTGCACATCCATTATTTACGATCAGACTTCTTTTTTTTCTAAAAATTTAATAGGCTTGACTTTTAAAACTGCAGGGACATACACACAACATGCAATTTACCATCCCTCCATTTGTAAGAGCTCGGCTCAGATGCGTTCCGTGTACGGGCAGGGTCAGTGGCAAGGCGACTCGCTCTGCAGAACTGAAACCCGACCTGCTGATGGGCTCCGGTCCCCTCCCCCCCGCTCCCGGCCATCATTATCCCTATGCTGGATTTTCAGTGAAGTCCTTCAGGGTTTAAATTTTTTATGCTCATCGAGTCAAGATTCAGAATCTCAAAATAAACTTGAAGTTCAAGATCCAGAAAGTTGCTTTTTTTGGGGGAGTAAATCTCCTTCAGGCTTCTGGAATAACCCTGATGGAGCAGAAGAGAAGGACTAACCAGGGCAGCCAGGGCTGGGGGACCATGGACTGTGAGTGGATTTGGAGAAAAATAGTAAATAATTCCAAATATGGCCCATTAATACGGGAGGCAGCCCCCCCCCCCGTGTCACCTGTCTGTGTCACCTGACCTGGTTCCATGACAGTCAGCACGGTGGGCACACTGTCCTCTTTGATCTTACAGCCACTTTCAGGTCACAGTAATCAAGACCCCAGGGAGTTCTAGGGCCACCTCTGCCCCTGTAAAATGAGCTGTCACATTCTGAGCCTGGCGGCACCTCTGAGCTAGGGAGAGATGGAATCACCTTTCCAAGGGCACAGAGCGCAGAGGTGCCTATGTGCAAGGCCACCCTGGGAACCGTCACTCTGGTGACTGGGGAGAGCCTGGCATAGCCTGGCTTCTCTCCACAATTGCAGGGAAGCCAGTGTCCACACAGCACCTGTGCACACCTGGCCAGGTGCAGGCTACACTACAGGAGCCTGGTGTCACGAGTTCTCTTGTGTGAGGGGCCATGAAGCTGGGAAGGGGCTGGGGAAGCAATGGGGCCACCATGAGGGGGGCTTCTGCCCTTCCCCCGGCTCTCCCATGAGAGGGAGGGCGGGGCAGTGGGCTGTTGGTGAAGCTGAGATCCTGGACTTGTTCTTGGAGTTCCTGGGTGCTGTGTCCTTTAGCCCCAGGCTGAACCTTGGCCCCAGCCAGGCACTGAGCGCTCACCCTGGTCTTGGGCTGGGCCTTTAAGCCTCGGCTCAGCAGAAGCTTATAGTGGTCACCTTGGGCTACGTTTTGCTGCAGTGACAAATGACGCCACATCTCAGCACCTTTCTTTTGGTGGGGGAGGGGAGCACCAGGGAATGAACTCAGGCCCTCAGCCACAGAGCCACATCCCCAGCCCTATTCTGTATTTTATTTAGAGACGGGGTCTCACTGAGTGGCTAAGTGCCTCACTTTTGCTGAGGCTGGCTTTGAACTCGAGAGCCTCCTGCTTCAGCCTCCGCAGCCACTGGGATCATAGGCGTGTGCCAGGTTTCCTCTCAGCACCTTACACACAACTCCTTCACGCGTTGGCTTCAACTTTGAAGTGAAGTTTCTGGAAAGAGGAGATGCTGAAAAACTGGAACTGTTTGAGACAACCGAGCTGCGGCTCTGCCAGGCTCACAGGAGCAGCGATGCCCGGCTGCCCAGAGGTCCTAACGCTCAGGTGGAGGGCGGAGGCTCCAATTCCTCCCCCTCTCATTGACCAGAGCAAGTCACCTGGCCAAGAGGTGTGGCAACAGGACACCGGCGGGGACTCCTCACACGGGGAGGGGCAGAGAATTCTTGGAACAGTAACGGTCTGCCAGGCATCCAGGAATACGGATGCTCCCTGGGTTTGTGTGCATTGGCAGTTAACGCTGACACCCACTGCTCTGGGCTGAATTGTGTCCTTGCAAAAGTACACATCGGAGTCCTGACCCCCAGCACCACCTGGGAACATGACTGCACTTGGAGGAAAGGTCTTTAAAGAGGTCTTTAAGGGAAAATGAGGCGGCAGGGTGGGCCACAATCCAGCCTGACTGAGGACACAGGGACAAGCAGCATCTGCAAGACAAGCAGAGTGGCCTCAGGAGGAGCCAGCCCTGCCACACCTTCACCGGGGACTTCCAGCCTCCAGAACCGCGGGTCAATGCATGTCTGTCCCTCGGTTGGTCTGTGCGGCTCTAGGAAACCCACACCAGCTGCCTGCCAGTCACAGAGCTGGCTGCACAGTGCATGGGAGCCCATGGGGAGCGGCACTCGGCCAGGGGAGGCAGCAGGGAGGCCCTGGGAGCAGATGCACCCCGCCCCCCAGCACTGGGCGGGAGAGGATGGCCAGGGAAGGCTGCCTGGGGGAGGAAGCATTTCAGGTGGCACCTGATGGAAGGAAGAGGGAGACATTTGCCTGGGGGAACCTGGGGGAGGGATCTTACAGGGGAGGGTGCAGATGAGGGCGATCCTGGCAGGTCCTGGGAACTGCAAAGGCTCCTCTGGCTTGGAGGGCAAGGAAGGGGGAGGAGCCCGAGAAGTTCTTGCGATTTGGACTGATCCCCAGCAAGACCCCACACGGCCCTCTCTTGTGTGTCCCCCGAGGAGCAGGAGGAGAGGGGTAACCGGCTTCCTGGTGACACCTCCCAGAGGGACATGGCAGAGGTGATGAGGGTCTTTGGTCAGCCCTGCAGGCCGGCTGGTGTCTGGGAATCGGCTTGGTGGAAACTGACCTTGCTATGCCACATGGAGAGGTCCAAAGACCACACTGCAGCCTCAGAAGACCCCAGCCTGGAAGTCCCTGGTGCTGCCTGAGGATACCGCACAGACACATGTGCTCACACCCACCCACACATGGGCACACACACCCACATACACAAGTGCTCACACCCACCCACACACGGGCGTACATCCACATACACACGTGCTCACACCCACCCACACACGGCGTTACATGTGCACACACACACGCACACACACACGCGCAGCCCCAGTTCTCCAGGGCTGCCGTCACACAGTACCACGACTGTGTGACTCCAACAGCAGAAGTTCATTGCCGATGTCCAAGATCAAGGGGCTGGTGGGTCAAGCTCCCGCCTTGCCTCTGCGGGATTCCAGGGGTGACCAGGGGTGACCAGCGGTCCGCCATGTTCCTTGCCTAGAGGTGCATGGCTCCAGGCCCACCTCTGCCTCGAGTGGCCTCTGTGCCACAGGCTCCCTTTCCCTTCTCTTAGAAAGACACCTGTCATTGGATTTGGAGCCTTCCTAAAATCCAAGGTGGTCTCATCTGCAGAGCCCTAACTATCCACATCTGCAAAAACCCGATTTCCAAAGCAGGTCACATTCCCAGGTCCTGCAGGTTAGGATTTCAACATGTGAACGAGGGGGGATGGAATCCAACCCATCACACGCACAGAGTGCACCAAGACCCTCCATAAAAACACAACTGGCCACAAACACACACAGATGGTCATAAAAAATTAAAAAAATAAGATAATGATATTAAAAAACAGCCCCAAAGATACATGCAAACAGGCGCATATGGCTAATAGACTCACAGGCCTGGGTTCCCCCACCCAGACACCTGCAGTCAGAGGCACAGGTGGGCGGAGACCCAGAGGGGCGAAAATAGCTGCCCACGTAGAGCGGACAGACAGCAGACAGAAATAGACACGCAGGACAGTACCGCCCCCTCCCAACAGGCCCCAGACCCGGCTTCCCTCCCTCCTCCACCAAAGCATCCCAAACGGGCTTTGAAACACGCACAGACGCAAAACGGCGCTCGGTGTTCAAGGGCCGCCGCACACGCGCACACACGCACTAACGCTGCTGCTTCTGCGGACACGGAGACACCGCGGGACCAGACCCGCTAAACCATGTCACTTGCGCTCACAGCAGGTCCCCGACAGAGACACACAGACCCACTCCTGCACCCTGCCCTGGGCATAGGACACTGAGAAGACAGGTGGGATGGGGCGCAGGCCGTGCTCAGGTGCAGGCGGACAGATGCCCCCTGGATCAGACCGGACCCTCGCTGTCGCCCAGACCCAGGGCAGGCGTCCTCACCACCGACAGCCCAGGTAAAGCACGCGTGCCCCCTGCTGGTCAGCAGCAGTAGTGCCCCAACCTTGGCACCGAAGGGGACCCGCGGGAGGGGAGGGGAAGGGGTGTGTGTGTGCGCGCGTGCACGTACCTGTGCTTCTTCACTGGCCTGTCCTTCTGAGCCAAACCGGTCCCCAGAAAGGGATCCGGATTCTTCCGGCCCCGCAGCCCACCAGCATAATCCCACCGCCCAATTGCAAGCCAGGGGGAAGGTCCTCCCAGAGGCACCACGCCGAGGTCCCCTCCTGTGGTTAGGAAAGCCGAGGAGGCGGTGAGGTTGGAGGGGGCTCTACCCAGGGCCCTTCGCTGTGGCCTGACGGGTCTTCTTCCTTGGACAATTTTTTGTTGTTACTGTTTTTAAAGAAAAGAACGGCTTTTATCCAGAGGAATGACTCCCTAGTGTGGACGGCCAGGCGATGAAGTCAGGCTCGGGGCGGATTTTCATGTAAGGACCAGTCGCATCTCGCGGGACCCTGCATCCCCCTGAAGCCTGTCCCCAGCGGTCCCGCACGGGGGGTGTCCCTGGACCGCGGTCTGGGAGAGCTTTTCCGCGGAGTGACCCCGCAGCGCCCATCTGAAGGTGTGTGCTGCCCTCTAGCGGCCGAGCCACGTGGCATCAGCCTCCCGCCGACAGCATCTGGAATTTGCATTTTCCTGGGACCCAGGACACGGTGGCCACAAGGAGCAGCCAGGGGCAGAGGAGGCCGCTGGGCAAGGACGTGGCCCCAGGGGGAGTTCACTTAGAGACAAGCTCCACGGAGAGAAATGAAACAGTAACAGAATGTGAGGTCCCCAGGCCAAAGTAACTCCTTTTTGAAAATCGGCACCACCCCACCTTCCCGTTAGGCCCATCCTGAAAAAGTCCCTGACTACCGAAACCACAGCAAAGACATTGGGTAGCAACCACAGGACTAGACAGGTTATTTTTCAAGTACTCCATTGCACTTGACTCTGTAGTTAAGAAGTGCCCCCCCCCCCAGGCTGCTGCACCTGGCAGAAGGGCAGCCTGGCGGATATTCTCTGTCAATAAACCTTTGCTGGACTCAGAGCTGGGTCTCTCCTGGACATTTGCACCAGCTACCCTAACACAGACCAGGAGGTGTCCGTCTAATTGTCCATGTTTTAAAATTGACAAGCAAATTGCATACACAGTGAGCCCTCTTTATCCACGGTCCCGCCTCTGGGGGTCAGCCGACACAGATGGGAAAGAGTCCCCCCAAGATTGCCTCTGAACTGGATGTGTACTGGCCTCACTTTCTGGTCCTGAGCTTAGTGGCTCTAGAGTCCAGAGGGGAGCGAGATCCTGTGGTGCTGTCCATTCTGTGACTGGGCTTGCTTCACAACATCCTTCAAACTCATCACTTGGTCATGGTGATAAGACTATTTTTTTTTTTCCGAAGTTTTTGTGTACCAGGGTTTGAACTCCGGGGCACTGGAGCCACATCCCCTGCCCTATTTTGTATTTTATTTAGAGACAGAGACTCACCGAGTTGCTTAGCACCTCACTTTTTTTGCTGAGGCTGGCTTTGAACTCTCGATCCTCCTGCCTCAGCCTCCTGAGCAGCTGGGATTACAGACATGCATGACCAAGACTTTATTTTTGAAGAGGCTGAATGGCACTTTATTGTGTGTATACGATTGCCCTCCTTTGCCGGTAGTTCTACTTTCTGAAGTTCTAATTGTGGTCAGCTGTGATCCAAAAACATGTATGCAATATTTTGAAAGAGAGAAAGAGAGAGAGAGAGAGAGAGAGAGAGATCATATTCATATAACTTTATTACACTATATATGTGACAGTTGTATTTTATTATTAGCTATGGTTACTAATCTCTTACTTCATCTCATTCACAAGTTAATCTTCATCAGAGTTTGCACCTATGGGAAAAGCAGAGTCCAACAGAGTTCAATGTTTTCCAAGGTTTTGGATACCACTGGGAGTCTTGGAATATTCCCCCATGTGTGTGAGAGATTGCTGAATCCATATTTTAAAAATGCAGTCTAGAGGGTGACTTGGTGGTGTTGAGTGGCTATTGTGGGTCAGCTGACCAGAGAGGGCTTTTCTGGTATTTGAGCTCATATCCAGGTGAATCCTAGAAATGAACCACAGGAGAACAATGTGTTTCAGGCAGAGGGAGCAGCAGGAGAAGAGGATGTGGGGAGGGAAGGAGCTTGGTAAGTCTGGGTCTGTGATTTATTAAAGATGGTTGAATTTTCTTTCCGACTCTTCTTTCTAGGAGGTTGAGACTCATTCCCCCACCTTTGAGTTTTGACTGGTCTTTATGGCTTGCTTGATTGACAGAGTTTGGGGTAAGTTCCAGGCTTGAACTGTCAGAGGAGGGAACAACCCACGGGCTTCTTGCCCCCCGCTGGCATCCTCAAGTCTCTTTGGAAGAAGACTGATACTTTGGGATGCCATACTGTGAGGAAGCCCAAGCCACATGGAGAGGCGCTGTGCAGGCATTCAGCACCTCAGTCTGTGCCGCTTGAATCACAAAGATGTATCTTGTCATGGTTCTGGAGGCTGGAAGACTGAGACCAACATGATGGATTTCTTCTGGGCCTTTCTCTTTGGGTTTTGGATGGTCTTCTCCCCCATGTAGGTGTCCATGTCCAAATCTCCTCTACTTGTGGTACTAGTCAAGTAGATGATAGTCCATCCTAAGAATCATCCCTTTAAAGACCCTGTCTCCAAATAGAATCACATCCCGAGGTATGGGAAGTTGCCGTGTCTGGTTCTTGTTAGGACAAACCATGCACACGTGACGAAGGTGGGAGATGGGAAGCAAACCTCGGATCAGCAGGCCGTCCTTCATTCATTTACTGGGCAGAAAATGACTGCAGGCTGACGCAAGGATCTGGATTATGTAGGCTTCATTTAGGGTCAGACAGGAGGGCAACTGCCATGGTATTGGGGTCTACTGATTCATTAGAGTGGGACAGGAATGTGAATAGGGAATTTCCTGGGGCTTATTGTATTGGCCTCAGGTGACCCATTAGGATGGGGGTCCAGTGCCAGTCAGGTACAGGTTTCTTTTGTGATCTTTCTTCTGGCTGAGGCCTGGGATATTCAATGACAAAAGCTTAGGGAAAGTGTCCTTGGACTTACTGTCCCTGTTCTTCAGTCTGAGGCTGGTTCTCTGTTTTTGAACTGGGTGTGGTTTTGTCTTTTAGTATGCCTTGTAATTCTTGGCAGTCAGACTGGATTCTCTTAGGTCAGGGGCATTCTCTCAGCCGGCCTTCGGCCTTCCTGATGTGGCGGTGACGTCTGTGGGGCCAGGAAGCTTCTCCAGTGAGCCTGCGGCCTGCTGTGGACGTCACTTCTCCCTCTCCCTCCAGGCGGGAGAAGGCAGCGGGCGTGGGCTGGAGCTGGCCTGTCCTTCTCTGTGCGGAAGGTGGAGCCGCCCAGAGCTGGCCTTCCCTTCCCCGGATCAGGCGGGCTCCAGTCCAGCAGGTGAGGCTCTGATGGACCCGAGGCCCTCCCGAGGCGGGTCTTGAGAAGCCAATGCTGGGACCGAGGAGGAAAGCTAAAAGCTCAATCTCACAGGAGGAGAAGGAGAGCGGTGGTCAGGGGAGGCTGGACAGGGGAGGGAGAGGGAGAGAGAGGCTGGGTGGCTGGTACCAAAAGAGGAGGAACTGGCTTTGGGGTCCTACAGCCCAGCAATGTCACTGGAGTCTACGGCCATTTATAAAATAGTTCACAGAACTAGAAGAGAGGGGTTTGTGAGGGATACGGACAATAAGTCCAAGGACATTTCCCCCGAACCTTTGCCATTTTCATCCCAGGCCTCAGCCAGAGAGAGGGACACAAAAGGGACTCCACCGGACTGGCACCTGACTCCCACCCTAATGGGTCACCTGACCCCAATACCAGAAGCCCCAGGGAATTCCCTGTTCACATTCCTGTCCCACCCTAATGGGTCAGCAGGACCCCAATATAAAGGACCCCAGGAATTGCCCTCCTGTCCGACCCTAAATGAAGCCTTTATAGACCAGGCCCTTGCTTCAGCCTGCCGCCGCCGGGTTCCGCTAATTGACTCTGCCACCAAACACTGAATGAAGGGCAGCCTGCTGACCCCTGGTTCACTTCCTGCCTCCTGCCTTAGTCATGGGAGTGTCCTTGTTCCTAACGATGAGCAGTTCCCCAACACGCGGAAATGACAAGGGTTTCAGGAGACACAAGTGTCGAACACCCTGACCCCATCATGGCACACCCTGAACATCTATCAAAGGATCACGCCATGTGCCATCAATACGTGCAATTAATTCTCCGTCAGTCAGAAAGAAGCGCAGAGTGCCGTGACGTGTTCTAAAGGATTCCTTTCCTTCTCCTCTGCCAGAAGCAGGAGGCCATTTCCTCTGATGATCACTGTGAGAACCTGGAGGTGAGAGTCCAGCGGGGTGGGCGCCTCCCCTGGGCCTCTCCCCACTCTCCAGCCTCCAGCAGTTCATCTGGGTGGCTTTCCTCCCAGGGGTGTGTCATCGGGTCCCCCCCCTTCCCCAGGCCTGGTACCCTGCATCTGAATGTGGAAAAGATAGAACTGGTGTCCAAAGACCAGGCAGTCCCCCTAGTCACGTTAATGACACCATCAAAGTCTGCCTCAAATGTGAAAGACCTTGAGGCTCACACCTCCAGTCCCTGTCCATCTGCTTCTCTCTCTCTCTCTCTCTCCATCCGTCATCCACTGACCCCTGGGGTCAGGGACCCCACTGTCGGGAGCCGAGATGATGATTTTCCACTTTCTCCCTCGCCCTCTCTACTTCCACATCCTCTTCTGGCTTCTGGTGGCGGCCGAGGTGGGTGGAAGTTCCTCTCGCTGCAGCTTGGAGCTGGCAGAGGTCTTGGCAGAAACTTGCGCAGTGGGACAGGCCGGCGGAGCACCCGGCAGCATCCTGGGGAGGCCTGAGAAGTGGCCAGGCTCAGACCCGCAATGCCGCAGGATTCCCCAGACCCATTTCTAATCAATCGGGATGCAGTTAGGAAACTGAAATTGCACAAGTTTTTTTTTTTTTGAGTTTTTAAGGAAGTCCATGGTTACATTATCGCTGAGCTTCTTAATATTATTTGCCGTTGTGCAATGAGACCAACTTCATTTGGAAACAAGCTTAAGAGGCCACATTTCACTGGAGAAACACAAAGGGTTTGGTGCCTGTTGAATTATTTACCATATCCCGACCCCACAAATAGGTACCCATAGTCGGTGTCAATTAAAAATAAAAAAAATCCGACCTGATCCGGCCCTTTCCGACACATGCCCAATGCCACGCTCAGCCGTTTAAAGCAGAATGCGCACTAACACGATTTGGCAGAAGAGCGGGCGCTCTTGGTTTTGGAGCTGACCTTGTCAACGTTCGTTGTCACGGAGCAGCTCGTGCGTGATGAAATGCATCTCTTGCAGTATCGGTGTTGACGACTCTTGACAACCACGGCTACAACAAAACACAAAACGCCTCGTGGTCCCGGGGTCTCTGGGTCCCCTCGTGATCCCCCTCCTCCCTGCCAGCCCAGGCCATCAGACCTGCTCCCCTCAACCGCCCACGGGGTGCATTTCCTGGACTCTCACGAACCGAGGCTGCCATGGTCCATGTGTCAGGTTGCTAACTGCAGTGAGGGATTTGTTAATTTACGTTTGAGATGGGGCGTCTCCCTGTTGTTCACCCTGGTCTTGAACCCCTGGGTTCATGTGACCCCCTGTCCTCAGGCCACAGTGGGTCCAGCGAGGCTTCCTGAGTGGATGGGACTATAGGTGTGCGCCGCCACACCCAGCTAACTCATATTTTTTAAAAAATATTTTTTTATTTAGTTGTGGATGAACACAATATCTTTATTTAATTAATCAATTGATTTATTTTTATGTGGTGCTGAGGATTGAACCCAGGGCCTTACGCATGCAAGGCAAGCGCTCTACCACTGAGCTACAACCCCAGCCCCGGCTAAGGCATTTTTAACACGTGAGAAGCATTTATAGTCAGTTTAAGTAGATGATCTTCCATAGTGTGGGCGAGCCTAGCCTGATCTGTTGAAGGCCTTAAAAGCACAGGCTGAACACCTGCTCTAGATGGAAGCTGGTCGCGGCCAAGTCCACCCCATGTCCGACCTTTGTCCCACGACCTTGCACAATCCTGCCACTCAGGGGTTGGTGCCCTCAGCACCACAGCGGGTGCCTGTTCTGATTGGTCATGCTCCACCTGAATCGAGTGTCACGCCACAGCGGGCTCCTGGTGGCACCTGGGAGTTTGGGTTTGGGGTGGCTGGCACCAGCAACTCCCGAGGATGCTCCCGGTGACGGTGCCGTTTGTGAGAACCAGGCAGCTGGGGCTAACACCGGCTTCCTTCTGGGCAGAGCCTGGAGCACCGAGCCTCTGCTGAGCTCCTGCCCCTTTCCTGAGTCCTGGGCACTGGCTGTGCCCCGTGAGCTCTGCCGGGAGAGGGCCCTGGACGCTCCTGGCTCCCTCCCGCCGCCCTGCTGTCCACAGCTGTGTGGTCCCTTTTGCTGCAGCAGCTCACAGCTGCGGGCAGGTCGGCAGCCGGGTTCCCAGAGTCACTGAACCCAAGTGTCCCTGGGGCCTGTGACCGACACCTGACGCCTTCCGAGAGGCCTAGGAGCCACCGACACCGTGAGCCCTTCGGTAGACTGTGGCTTTGTCCCCCCAGGGCCACTTCCCTCTGGTGACCTTGGTCCCTCCCCGCCAGCTGCGGCTCCTCTCCCCCCGGCTCCCAGTCCTGGTTTCCTCGGGGTGGCTGGGGGCCGGCATGGGGTCGGGAGAGCCCCCCACTGCTTGCTGTCTTCTCCTCAGACTCTCATCTTCCAGGAGAGGAAGTGGAGGACGTTCTCCAACGCCCCGAGGAAGCTGCAGTCTTGGGGGGATACGGACTCGTGGAAGGCACAAGTGACTGGCGCTCTGGGACGGGAGGGGCAGGGGACCCTTGGGCCGCGCTGGGTCCAGCAGGGCTTCCTGTGGGGGTGGGACTCACACAGGGGGGCCCAGGGGTGGGACCATGTGCCTCCTGCTCTCAGGGTCTTCCCACGGGGGCCACTGGGGGGGGCCTGGGCAGGAGAGGATCAGGGACAGGCCAGCGCAGGACGAGGACAGAGCTGGGGGAGGAGCTGCTCTCGGCGGGAGCCTTGACCCACCCTGACTCCACAGGGACACGGATGGCACCTTGGGGGCGAGGGGCTGGCCTGGGCACCTCCGTGGTCACCCGCTGTCGGCCG